ACAAATGCATTTGTTTTCAAGATATGACTGTGAATTGACAATGTCAGTCTGCCTCAGACTCTTAAAAGCTGGAATGCAAGGTGATGTCTATGTGGAGAATAAAATTTTTTTTATCCTTTGCATAATTTCTATAACCTTCAACATGCACATCTACATTTTCTTCAGGATCCCTGTATATTGTATCTGGTATTTACTTTCCTTATATCAAAAACTGGCTAAATCAGCAGTGTAAAGTAATATGAATAGTTGATAACTCTGACATCAAATATGTAACTGATGTTGTCGTGGCTTGCACACCTGCACTCACGGCTTGGGATTAAAAGGTTGCTATACACGTATATAAGAAAAGGCAGTTTATATTTTTAGTGAAGTTACAAGGATGAACATGCAGTATAAACACACAGATTCTGATAATTATGTGTTTATTTAAAGCATATAAAAAATTTTTGGAAAGTTCATATCCAAGTTTTTTTCCTTTGTCTTTACTCTTCTTTATTTCTGTCATGCACAAGTGAGTCAAGCATGTCCTGACTCTGGTTCACTGTTAGAAAACTTTTGGTTGCTGTAGGTACAGTAAACCAAAGATTGTTCACCCTTTTGAAATACTATAGTAAGATGATAACCTCTTAGTTAACTGTGGAAGTTACCAAACCAACTACAAAATGTAGTCTACAGACATGTTTGATTTGAATTTTGCGCAAAGCTACATGAGGGCAATCTGCACTAGCCATTCCTAATTTAGCAGTGAAAGACTAGAGGGAAGGCAGCTAGTCATCACCGCACACCGCCAACTCTTGGGCTACTCTTTTACCAATGAATAGGGATTGACTGTCACATTATAACACCCCATGGCTGAAAGGGTGAACATATCTGGTGGGACAGGGGTCTATAGACAGGAAACTAAAGCTTTCAGTACATAAGACACCTCATGGTAAAGGATTGACAGTCCAGATGAAGATAAATTCAAATGAAAGATTGCTCCATACTAACCTCATACATTGAAGATGAAGGGAAATAAAAACAATGTTATGGATCTTAATAATTTAGGAAAAATGAAGTATCATCAGTATGCCATTGTAATAATGACTCTTTAATAGGCTATGTGGCTTCCAAATGTTGATATCATGTGTTCTTCTAATGATATTACAAACTTATTACATTTTTGTAAAAGAAATACATACATTTCACTCTATGGCTAACATAATTATATAGAAAGAGTTGTTTGGCTCAAGTGCACAAAAAATCTTAATATAATCATGTATGTCAAAGTGCAGGAAACAACTTATAGTTTCTAAAATGCAAGGAATTATTACATTTATAATTTACTATCATAGACAATTAACTTTTTGTAAAAAATATATCTATATAAATCAAAGTTGTTGTATGTCATCCTTTCAAAATTCGGCAAAAAAAAAACAAACAGCCAACAACTTCAGACACAAATAATGTAGTTATATATATATATAAATAAAACTTTCTCAGCACATGTTGCATGCTAGACATGTAAAACTTAATACTCAATAAATCTTATTTACGGAGAATGAGTATGAAAAATTAAAATGATTTTGGAGCCTCAATCACGTTGTTGTAGTTGAGTCACTGTGTATGGTTATGAACTATTTAATGACTGTGCAGCTACCTTAACAATATCCCTGCAGCACAGTTTCCATTATAAAAGGCTCTGTAATAACATTGTCATGTCCAAGGCATATTACTCCTTCCAGCATTATTATTTCATAAACCATCTAGCATGCAAAGAAAACAGTTTCTCAGCACCCCTTTTCAACAGTCAAATCGTACACAAATCCATAGATGCTCTGTATGACAGCATGTATTCATGCTAATCCATATTCTCTAGCTGTTTGAGGTACATGATGTATGAAAAAATATGTTGTGGAAGCAACTTGTGTCACTTTTCCACACAAAGATCTTTTCTGTTTATGTTGCTAGGACACATGAAAACCATTTGCTACTGACCTTTGTGTTCTAGCCTGTTATAAGATGCAGCTTTTTGCTTATCACCACTGAGATATGACTTGGATGGTCCTAGTGCCCAAAGTTGATCCATATTCCTTTGTTTATCAATTCCACTAAGTAGACAAAATATCCCAGTCTAGAAAATTATAAATCTCTGCTCTGAGCACATCTCTATGGTCTGGGTGTATGATTATTTTGTGACTTTGTATCGGCTATGATTGTTATGTGACTTCTGGATTTGCATATTCAGTATTGTTTTACTATAACGTATATGATCACAAGCACAGATATAACATGAAACAATGCATGTTACTTCATTTCAAAGGGATTGTGCTTGATAAATTTAACGTTTTAGATAGAAAAAAATATTATAGTTGGTTTAAAATGAAGTACACAATTTCTAACTGAAATTAACATTACTAGGAATATGCAAGTCTTATCTGCCCCCCCCCCCACCACCACCAAAGGTTACATTATAGTATTAGTATAATTCACTATTATATATGATTAATTGTTTTTTCTGATGTTCCATTTTAAGAATGACAAACCTTTCCAAATATCTGAAAAATTTTATGGCATATAGCTACTTGAGAAGATAAAACAATTTCAGTTACAGAATCAGATGTTGATGTATCATCACTGTAGTTCTCAACTATGGCAAAACAATTATTAGTACACCATTAAAACCAGTATTTCAGATCATCCTGATTCCACTGTAGTTAATTTTGATATCAAGAATATATTTTTCCAATTTAACAACTCAAAAAGCTCTCCCTATTAATCATGACAAATAACAAAAGGAACAATACCTTTCTGTACAGTCAACATTAGAGTACCAAACTTCTAATAGTTCACAGATCTGTGACTTAAAACAAAGCAGTTACAGAAGAATTAACATTTATTAATGGTTACCAGACTGACTGAAAATACTAATCAACTGGCAAAATTAGGTAAATAAAAGCAACGTACACAAGGGACAACATGTCTTTCAGGAAAATTAGTTGGGTTCAGAAATCAACAGTTTTAGAGACACCTTTTATAAACAAAAATAGTTCTCCCAAGCTTTCTCAGACAATCAGATCCAGCTACTCAGTCATCTCAATCTTTTTAATGACTTAAAACCAGTGCAGTCACCAAAATTCTCAAACCTGGTTAAGGAAGACCCAAGTTTTGAAACAAGCATGGCTTACTTTTTACTCTCAATACTAAATGCTTCTGGAATGGGAAGTTTTAATGAACAAAGAAATACATGAATAAGTGAAATTCAACAAGGTGTGTTTTAAATACAGAAAAACAAGAAAGAATTAGACACTTAAATAGTAAAAATTCCTTAAAAACATGATGACAGTTTTTAACAGATTAGACTTTTTTCTTCTACCACTTCTTCCTCTTATAGGGGCTTTTTACATTTAGCCGTTGCTTATGTATTTGTTATTATTTTTGTTCTGCATAGAAAATCATAGCTTTTTGTGTGTGTGTGTGTGTGTGTGTATAAAATCTGCTTTGCTTACACATGCTTTTATTTCTTTAAATTTATAATGTACTAAAATATTTACATTTCTCTTTAAAACTACGTCACAAAAACAAAGTAAAACATTTCGGAGAGTTTTAACTGAAAAAACAAGTTTTACTGAATAAAAGCGGTACATACTTTTGGAATGCATTATGATGTACAGGTATTACAAAACAAAATATTTTAAAACAAACACTGATTCTACCAATAAAACCTTAACATCACCACAAGTTATGATACACATATAAATCATTAAAGTAAAATATTAGTACCTGGCCAATCAAAGTACAATACTTAATAATGCAAAGTATAAATATATGTATTTATTAATATTTCTGTTAGTCTTAATTTTACTATGCATTCGTTATCACTGCATGTCATTTTACTTCTGTGGCTGGTTTTAATGGGTGAACAAACTAAGTCTGAGAAATAAAAAAGTAACTAATTTGTAAGTACACAAACTTACAAATGTAGCCTTGAGGTAAGTTAACGAAAAATGTCTCAGCTATCAGAATGATAACTATAAACTATTATTATTATTATTATTAATAGTTTTACTCAAAGCCAAGTAATCAGTAAAATTACTTCAAAGAGAAAAAAAAACAAATGAGTATTTATAAACTAACTTTCTTTTCAGTTTTATCATAAGGTGAGCAAAAAAAGAGCATATTTTAAAAACCACTCATTTGATTAATATTTAATGTTAGCTTAGAGTAAAATTATATACTAAATAAATTTAGTCTTCATCACTATCATCACCACCATCATCATCACGAATATTTTTCTTTCGATATCCAAAAACTGGTTTATTTTTCTTTGCTGAATTTAAGCTATTTGGTGGCGTGGTAAGATCCCCATTGTAGATGATAACTTCAGCACGAGCTATACGCCATTCCAACATCTCAGTAGAGAACTCATCATGACCACCTAGGTCATCAAAACCCACAATAAAGTCTTTGGTTATTGCATTTTTACAAAGTACAATTGTAGGCAAAACACGAATTCTGAGCCGATCAGTGAGAAATGGTGATTTCTCTACATCAATTTTACAAAACTTAGTTTCAATGTGTTTACGAGCAAGAGCAGCTAAATGTTTGTCCACAATCTTACATCGAAAGGTGCTTTCTCTGTAAAAGTGACAAACAACATTTTCACTTTTCTTGCAGACTTCAAAAAATTCTTTTTCTTCTGGAAGTTCAGAATATTCTCCATGACCTTTTTCTAACCATTCACGTTTTTTGGTTTCCTGTTTCTTAAGTGCATCAAGGCGCTGCTTCCTTAATGATTCCAATTCATCAATGTCTAGTTTCTCTAGCTTTTCGATCTCAGCATCTATTTGCTCTTCGACTATCTTTGTAGCTTCAAGTAATTTTGTTTCTACTGCTAACTGTGGATTTGCCATTTTTTTTTATCTGAAAAATACAACAGTATGTCATGGCTGTTAACAAAACTTGCTCACTTTCACAAATGGTTAGAAAATGTTTTGAAATTTTCACTAGTATTAATACTGATATGCCTAAATTAAGGAAGCTTACAGAACTAAGCTCTTATATTAGAGGAACATATATAAGCATTATATGTAAAACAAAAATTCAGATGTTACAAAAGCATGAAATACCAACTAAAATCTAGATTTGGTGTAAAGACAACTTAAAATTTATTTGCAGTGAACATATATAAATTTTGGACATCAAATTTCAAGTTTGTTGTACATATATAAAACTGATGTAAATACTTTTTTTTTTATAATTCTGAGTTCATTTTTATTCTATTATTATGACCCATTTTTATCATGCAGATAAAACAACACTATAAAATGAAATATGTTTTGTGCATGCCTTGAATTTTTTCAAATATACTTTAGATAAATTGAATAACCTTTCATTAAATCATATGTCATAAATGCAGACCTTGGGAGATCAAAAGGTTTATGAGTATCATATATTTCTCATCATAATTGGCTAAATAGTGACATCTGGTGGTAATATTAACTTTTATTTCCTACAATAAAGCATCACCCAAAACATCTTTATGAAAAGTATAATAGCAGTAGAATGTATCAAATTTAACTTCTGAATCAATAACACATCTTATTGTTAAAATTTCATTGAAAGAATAGGGAATAACAGCCTGCAACACAAATATGATGTTTGGTAGAGCTTCACAGTTTAATCAATAACCCGTGAGCAGTGATTACATTGATAAGAGTCTTGTAAACTAACTGATTAGTTAACAATTATGGTTATTTACTGTTTTCAATTATCCTGGCTATTAAAGTAAACAAAAATACTGCCATTATGTTTGTTTATTGTTAACTACAAAGCTACATACTTGAGGGGGGGGGGGTAAATTCAGGGTCTTTGTTTGGATTCTGATTTCCACTAAACTTGCTTACTCTTATAAAGCTACTAAGGTTACAGGCTGCTGTGTCACTGCTAACCAGAGAATAAGCTAATGGCTAGTAGCACTCACCATCAAAGCTCTGGCTACTTAAGTGTAAGATAAAGTGTAAATATACTGTTATTTTTTTGCATTGTGTTACGTTTCTAATTTGTAATTGCATAACTGTATTCTTTAATGTTGTATAAGCAGGTGCAGATCTAGGGAATGGGGTAAAAATCTTCCTCCCATATTTATTTTTACAAAAATTAATAACTATTTTTTTAATGTCGTATGTCATTAAACTGAAGTTCCAATAACATAGACTTGTTGTAGATTAGATTTTTCAACATTTAGAAGTTAGAATTCTTGTAAGAAAGATGCTTCTTGTATTGCTGTTGTTTAAAATAAGTGAAAATACAAGTTGTATGTCTTTATAAGTAATGACCTTTTAAATATTTCTAAAACATGCATCCTGTTTACCAGTGCTAAAATCTGCTTTCTAAATAATTATACATATTTAATTTTAGTTTAAAAATATTAGTTATCAACTATTTTTATTTTCATGTCAATCACATTACTAGACATAAAGATATAAGCTTTTGAAATTGCTGGATTATTATCTGACTGAGTTAATCATTAACACTATACATGTATATTGCTATTATTTTAATTTTGGCTTATTTACGTTGCTTTAAAACTATGTGGTCAACATTGATTAATCCAAAATAATAAATTATTATAGTGGAAGTTCTTTCCTTCATGAACAAAATGCTGAAAATATGGTTAAAGTGTTATACAGCTAATTTTTAAAAAGTTAACTGGTATCATACCATTGTAAAAATGAAACATTACTGCACCAACATGTTGTTTTGTGTTAACACAACAATACTATATTATCTGATTAAACTCTTCACATTATTTTTAGTCATTCCCTAACGGTTTTTAAACTTTGTAAGAAAAAGTTGTAACTATAAAAAGTTTTATTTTACAAAATAAAATATTATTCAAATGTTTATGTTATTTGACCTTATGTTTAGGCTACTTAAAGAATAACAAAATTTACTAGGTTTTTGAGTTATAAAAATAAATCACTTATAATTCCTCTTTCTCTTCATTGGTTTCAAAGTGTCTGAGTAACTGTGTAGTTATAGATACAACACTTAAGGACACATCACTGTCCTAAACTAAAAGTATTAGATTCTGTTTAATGTGTAAATCACTTCAACTTTTTAAAAAAACTTAAATGTGTAAAAATTTTATACCCTTTTAAAAAAAGGGTATAAATTAATTTTGTTATTCTTTAAGTAGCCTATTATTTTTTTAAAACAAAGTGTTTTATGTATGTATGAAATACCACATATTTATGTAAGTTATACAAATATGTAAAAATAGTGAAGAAACAAAAAATTAATTGCACCTCGGATATAATAATGGTTTGTTTGATTAGACAGGTGAGAATTAATTACAGAAATAGCATGCTAATGTTACTAGCATATGTTTGCATAAATGGCTGTCTGGGTCCTCCTTCCTCCACACTAAATCCAGCAGGATGTTCCACTTTGATATGGTTTAACATTGTTTCTACACTGTCCCTGTAACTAAGCTTTGTAGACTACAGCCTATATTTTACTTTTTGGTCCTTCTCTGTATCAAACTAGCCCTAAACAGTACTCTATTTTAAGCTCCCGAAGAGAAAATTGCTTTAGCCTGGTTGGTTTCACATTAATTTATTGCATCTCTAAGCAGTACTCAAGAGTTTACACTGGCAATGTGTCAAAACAGCTATTACACTATCATTTCTGACATTAATTGCTAAATTTTGAAACCCAACAATTGTTGTTTTGATGTTTTTGTTTTATTCAAATATATGTATATAATGTTTATACTCACAATTTCATGTATTTCCTTGTCTGTTATAGTCATATATTCAACTTACTAGTAATGTCTATTTGTCAAAAACATAATTTATTACCAATGTCAATAATTACAACATGATGTATTTTTACAAATGTAAGGTTAACGTGAAACATGTATCTCACCATATGCTAGTCATGCCACATTACAAAAGTAGGAAGTTAACAATGAAAGAATCTTTGACTAACTCCAAGTTTCTTCATATAACTTGTACATTTTTAGTTAACTTAAATGCAAAATATTCTGATGACTCAAAGCTTTTTATTATTTTTTAAACTTTTCAGTGCTGACTGAATGATGGAAACCATTTTCAATGAAGATGATACACAACTTCAGATAAATAAATTTTTTTTTATTCTACTAGATATTTTGGTTTACACCTTTTTCAAGAGTCTATATGAACATTTTGTAACCTGTGACAATCTTAGACCCTGGAAAAAAAGGCAAACATTTAAAAATATTTATCTGAAGTTGTTTCTCCTCTTCATTGAAAATCACTCAAATCTTCATCAATTATTATTTTTATACATATTTTATTTTCACACAACATACATAAAGAAAGTGGCTAACTGGCTGCTTAATTATTTCCAATTAAAATTGTGACATTTTTAATTATAATAAATTCAAGGTATCGCATGTGGGATATCCCAATTAAGAAGAATATTTTGGTTGGAATAACCTTAATGTTATGGAAGAAAAATGATCTTGGTATTCTGGTTCATCAGTCTCTTAAGCCATCCAAGCAATGTGTTGTTGCTAGTGGCAGGGAAAATAGGGCTTTAAATTATATACGTATATACAGAAATATTGAATACAAGTCTAAAGAGGTTACAATGTCATTGTATAGGTTATTGGTTAGGCCACATTTGGAGTACTGTATTCAGTTTTGGGATCCTTACCTTAAAAAGGACAATGAATTGTTGGACAGGGTTATTAGGATGATACCTGGGATGGAAATGTTGTCAATGAGGAAAGGTTAAGAGCAGTGAGTTAGAGAGGATCTGATTAAGGTGTTTAAGATTGCTATGGGAATTGAGTGTTGATGCATCATCTTTTTTCATATTTAATGGTGAAAATGGTAACAATAGGGGACACAAATATAAATTTTGGCAAGGTGGGAGTCATCTTCAGCTATATTTTTCTAATAGGATGGTTAGTCTGTGGAACAGGTTGCATCGAGAAGTGGTAGATACAGTTAAATTTGGTGAATTTAAGTGAAAGCTTGATAAATATTTGAATGACAAGGGCTGACTGAGTTTTTTAGTGCTTATTATAAGTTAGTGGAAAGGACAGCCTAGATGTACCAAAAGGTCCCTTGTTGTCCTTTAATGTTATGTTAATATAAATTACACATATATACAATACTACCCTTATTGTTGATAGTAAAACATGTTTTCATTATTTATAGAATTTATTTAAGTTACAGATGATTAGTGTAAGATTACTGCATATTTTGAATATAAATAAAATGACAACTGCACAGTGGTATTTAGTTGATATTAGTGACTCATTTACCAAGTAGCAAATTCTTAGGCCATCTTTAAAAAAATCTGTGGCAAGATATTTTTTGTGGACAATAAAATATATTTTTGCAAAATGTGCAAATGGTGACCTATAAAAGAGGTCTATCATATAAAACCAAAGGTAATTTGAAAATTACTTAGAAAAGAAACCCAAAACAATGCTAATACCATGTTAAGAGTTAAGCAGTGATAGAAAAGGTAATGAAGCTAGCAAACTTTCCTTTTTTTTACTTATACTGAGGGATAGGGGTGTTGTAGAGAACATTTTGTGCTTGTTATAGTTTTCATGCTATAACTTTTAAATTACTAAGCACATGTTCAATAAATTTGGCAGATTATCAATAAACATTATGAGGCTTTCATACACAAACTATCAGATTGTTTTATTAAGTCTTAAGGTTTGTTAAACAATGTTTTTCTCATGCCTTTTTTTCTTTTTTGAATGTTGCCTGTCACACTTGCAAAGTAATTTTCATTTTCAAATTAAAAATACTTTTATGCATCAGAAAATTTTCAAATTTCACATGCAAAACCTTTATACCATCCAGATAGTTCTCAAATGTTTCTTAAGAAAAACTATATTTTATCTGTTACTTTCACTAACGAATCTCTGTATAGGTTCGGTCAATTGGACCGATCTCGTAACCACCATAAAAAATTCGAAAATAAATTTAATTATGCCTTTTCTTTCTAGAATGACTACAGGTTATACTACAAATGTTTAGACTAAATAGCTTAAATCTCATAACAGTATACATTTATATATATTTATCATACTGACCTTTTAGTCATGCCTGGCTAATACTAACTATACAGTAGTTACAATGATGCAGCACACGTACACTCATGTTACCATATCCAATAATATAAAACTGACCTTTAGTCTTTACAAAGTGAAATGTCTTGAATGTGTTTTAGTAGACTAGTATTTTGTAAAATACAGTCACATTATTTCTATGAAGATAGAGTATATAAGCACTGTATGCAGATAATAAAATCACTTTTTGAGATGTACCACATTCCGGTCACTAACACTGGCTCTTAGTGGGGAGGAAAGAAGGGAGAGTGTCAGTGGAGGTAAGTATGTTTGGAAATATATTTTCAATTTAAGAAAATGATAACAAAAAACATACATACCTCCACTAACACTAATAGCAAGGATCCCACATTGAGAAGGCAGAGGGCTCAGTGAGGACAGAGATCATACAGAAAGCATCTGCAGAGAATAGATATGTACCATGAGAAGTGGTATCAAAGTGGGGAACACCACACTACATCCAGAACTACAGAAAATTGAAAATGGTGGAACATAATACAAGTAAGATGGTCCAGCCCCGAGCAAACAGCCAAGGTTCCACAACTCAGGATGGATTTAAGGGGTCATGGTACCCATATCCAATGTTGGTGGCCAGGGCAGTTGGACTGCAGATATATACATCTTGTGATAAGATCTCTACTAGTAACCACAAGATGATGTGTTTCAAACCACCGGAATTATGAAAGAAAGAAAGCAACACCAAAATGGACAATCCTTCTGACCAACCTGAAGAAGTCTAAAAGACAACATCCCAGGTCTGAATTGACGGGATAATATGCCATATTCCACCAAAGTCCAGAACTCATCCAGTGTGGGTTTACAAACAGTTGTCTTTACTTCCCCAAGGAGAATTCCACTTACCCATGGAATTAAGGAGAGGATGTGGAACACTGTCCCACCAAGGACCAAAGATTGGACCAAGTCGCGTTATGATTTACGAGAAGATAGTGGACCCACTGCATGAACAACACAAGACCTGACAGTGTTCATAAGAGGTCCAAGCACCCCCCACCAGATAGCCAAGTGTCAACTCTGGACTAGTTTTATGAGTAGGCTCCCGTGTAGGTTGGTCCTGCTCCTACTGACATCTGGGAAAAATTTTTCAGGGACCTAGGTAAGACAGTCCCCAACTTCGCACTCTTCTCGAAGAGTGGAGAAAACTCAACACTCTGAAGGTAAATCCTCTGTCCACCTCCCCAGTGACTGGGAACTGGGTGTGGTAAGGACTCCCGAGCTCCACTGGTAGAAGTAAGGGGAGAACATAAGTGTTGGGAGTCCTAAGGAACAGGTCTCCGGAGACAGTGCAATAGGTGAACCACGTTCCCTAATTTTTAAAAGCAAACTGATCTCGACTGATTCAGTTCTAAGGTCAGCAGGGACTGGCAAAATCCCCTTTAGCTTTACTCATGATAGTCCATGAGTAGCAGTCCATTAGAAATATTGTAATATGATATCACCATCCAGAATTGTGTCCAGATGGTCTTATGGAACACCTCATCTTGACAGAGCCCATTATGTGAACTTCTCCCAACACGTTCATATTTCTTTACCTTCACGATCTGGCAGTTTTCTCTTCGAAGGGACTTCGTCTTCCCCCTGTGCCTGTGTTGACTACCTCTACTAGATTTTAACATGGTGGTGAGTAACGTGTTAGCTGACTAACAGTTATTGTTCCTTTCTCTTCTAGGGTCCCTATTGATTTTTTTTGGATCCCACTCAGTTGCAAGTGTTGTCCAGTCAGGTATGCTTGTATATAAATTCCACACTAGCAACCTGTATATTGGTTCCTGGTTGCCTGATTGCCTCAACAATTTGATGAAGAACTGGGCCATTTACTGGTCACTATTATGACATGTTTGTCCTCTTCAGGACTTGCCTTAGTGTTGTGGTTGGTCTATTGCTAGGACTTGAGTTATAATGCATTTTTGGAGGGTATTCACTTACATTCTTCTGCCTTTCGAGATTTACAGGAAGTGCCTTTTCTTCGGCCTTATTTATTTGCTGGAATTCCAGAATCTTTAGAAGCCAGAGTTGATACAACACGTTTACAGTCTTCCTTATTTTGGCTGCTCAACCCTATTCTACTTCCACTTGTACTTCTGCATATTCATCCCCTCATGTCTCAAGGCCCCCTCCATCTACTTCTCGTTCCATTGGTTCTCTTAATCATTTCCGCCCTTCTTCTTGGGAGATATTTTGGGGGCCAGTTTGATATGCTTCAGACAAAAGTTGAAGAGAAAAGAAGTATCTTAAAACAGTAGTAAAAGTCAAATGATTCCACGAAAATTGCGACCTGTTAAGAGATAACAGGTTCATACATGTCACCCCACAGATCCAACAACGGATCCAACCTTTGAGTGTCCAAATATATATATATCATCCTGACGATGATACGCCAGGGCATGTTGTTCAGATAAATGGGGGGGGGGGGGCATAGCAACACCCTCGTGTAATTGTGTTGCAAATCTCCCTGCAAGCACAGCAATATCAGGTGAAGGAGGAAAAACTAAGTAATCCCTTCGAGAACGATTGGACAACAAAGCAGGGGTAGACTCAAAAGCAACTGGTTGCATCTCCTAAACTTCATAAACACATCTAACTAACTGCAGAAAAAGGGGCAGAAGGTGACTGATCAGATGAGTCCTCAAGATAAGAAGCTCCAGTGAAAGAAGGGGTAGGAAACAGGGAGACTACATTCTCCCCCAGAATATCCCATTCAGAATGAAAATTCAAATCAGCACCTCCCAGAGAGATACCCCTGGGCTGCATGATGGACTCAATCTCACCCCGAATCAGGTCACGGACAGCTTCCAAGGGGGGTATATAAAGACTGGAGCTAGTGAACACAACATTTGATGGCAAAGATGAAGATCGAGAAATAACTATTAGTGTCAGCAGAGGTATGTATGTTTTGGAAGTTATGAATTTTTTCTTGCTTGGAATAGCCACAGAGGGCAAAATGATGAAGGAAACATTGAAGAAAAATATTTGGATTTATCCAAATGGTGGCCTGTCAGACGTCCTATAAAAGGTACAAAAACTGAGAAGACATTGCCAATACCAAATTTTATAAGATGTAACCTGAAATTCACTCTTGAAATTATTTAGGTTCATCCCAATAAACAAGATGGATCAGCTGCACAAGTCAATTTCTAAATGTGGATTAAGCAGGATACATGAAGTGAAATTCTATGTGATATATAAGCAATCTATTTTGAGCCTCTCTGAAAGATGTAATTTGTGCAAAATAACAGAGAATGGCTTTGTCAAGACATGAAAAGTAAGTAATCTGTGGAGCAGATAGAGAAAGACAAGAAACAATATTTCTAAGGCACCATCTCTTAAAGACAGTCCAATAATATTGGTAAATGGCTCTACAGACAATGAAGGTTAATAGGACTAAGAAAAAATATTATATTTAAATGATGATAAAACCATGGATGCTTCACCATTAAGTGAATACATGAATGTGAAACCCACCATGGACACCAACATGTGATATGATAATAACAGCCTATATACATTAATTAATAAGGGTCAAAAATATAGTTATGGAACCTCCCTGCACACTAAAGGTAGACTACGTGATCAAGGCTTCTAAAAAGTTTGAAAGTTTCCAATATTGATAGAAACACTTGCAAAAATACATAAAGTGATGTCAAAATTCGTAGTGATCTAAGTTAAGAGCATGACTATCAAGTGTTGACAAGTAAGTCTGAATTATGGAAGAAAAGCAAAGTTTATATATGATCTTCTGATGCATGTGTAATAATAAGTCATGAGGAAGGTGGGAGAGTGAAGAGAATTGGATAAGTGATTCATGCTCTGCAATGCATAAAGGACATTCCAAATTTTGATTCATGTTTGTTGACAGCATGAGAGCAAACCCAACAAAAAGAGAGCCACGGCATTTCAGAAGTAAGACTACCTGACTTGAATTTTAACATATCACTTCAAATATTCATTTTATGAAACCATCAATTTCTTTGCAACAATGAACAAATAACCAAATTAATGGCATTTGAAAATTTCAAGAGCATACCTATTGTATGCATGTACAAATGTACATTCAAATTTGAGATGTTTTACTTAAATTAATAACATTTACTCCATTACAGATATCAATGTTTCCTTTCTTTATAAAAATACTCACAGTGAAGTACTTTGGACAAGAAGACAGACAATGTCTTTGTTGTTCATTCTCTCGAAAGCTGCTATCAGTGCCACTTTGGTTTGGAGTTCTAACAGTGAGTTTTACTGCTGGATGTTCAGAACTTCCACTTCCTACAGTCTCTACTGGCACACTATTATCTAATGTTCCTTGACTCTTTGGAACACGTTTTGCTGCAATCTTTAACTTCAACTGACCATTATCATAATTGCTTTCTTTCACAATAGAAAATTCCCTTTCTTCTGAAATGCTTGAACACCAACTTGAACAACTGCTTTCATCAGATTCTTGACTACTACTACTGCAATTACTGCAGCTTTGTCTATCTGTCCACATCTTTTTCAACAAGTGTTCTGATTTTTCATTTGCAGACCTCATCCTCTATGGCCCACAGGCACTTTCCTAAGAAACCACCCTGTACTAGACAATCTTTCCGGAATAGGCATAACTGATGCAGAGAGAGAGAAAATGATACTCCAAGCTTTAGCACACTTGAAGACAATTTCCAGCACCAAACATGCACATTTTTACCTAAAATAAACAAATAAAGTAGAAGCAAGATCATAAATAAAAACTAGTACAATTTTTTCCTTTAATTTCTGAATTTTTTCTGTGAATAACATAAAAGATTAATATTTTATACAAATATAAAACTGCTGATAGACAACAAATATTTAATAAAACAATCACCCAGGCCTGGCTTCAGCCCCCCCTGTTGATTTCAGTGATTTACAAAAAATCATAAATTTTTTTAAAATTGATAATATGATTTTTTAAACTGCTAGGGAGAATACACTTTGGTGGGCCAGATTGAAATTTTGGGGTGCACAGCCCCCCCACCCCACCAGCACCAGCCCTGTAAACACCTCACCTTGCCTAATATGAGGTTATGACTGAATTTAGTAGACTGCTGAAATAAACCAAGGTGAGGATTTTTTGAAAGTACCCTGTCTATCCAAATATTTCTGAGTGACCCTGTAAAGCCCTATCAACTTTCATAATTGGACTATTTGCTTTAACCTTGATGATACCATTTTAACTCTAATAGAAAATAACTATATCACACAAAGTAATTACCACTTTGTCTACTTTTTTACTGTATATCATTACGTATGACAGATTAATATCGTGAAATTGAAAATTTTTACTATACACTTTCAAAGTTTGAAAAGAAAGTTTTTAAAACTATTCCACTGTATTTTGCTATCATTAAAATATACAAATTTCATTTTGATTTTTACTTGCTGTGGAAGTTGAATATTGTATGGGCAGATTGTGACAAAGCTAATGTCTGAGGCTTAACTTAGAAAAGTGCTTCTAATTTTATAATCTCACCAGAAACATTTAAACCTCTGGATATGGATAGGTAAAAGTGTGCATATCATGACTGTTTTTTTACAGAATCACTTTCAAAATTTAATTAAATTACTTTCAATATATATCAATAAACTTTGCATCAAAATATAGTTAATAAATTAACTTCTAACATCATATGAATTTTAATTTCTTAATTTTAAAATGAAATATTTAAATAAATTCTCAATCTTTACTTTTCTGTACCAATATGACACTTGTCTGCTCCAAATTGCACAACTTAGTTAATACTTCCACTCCCATTTGCATGATTTTGAATACAAATTAAACATATATTAGATATACTGCTAAAACATAATCTAACTTTGTAGCTTCCAATCATCCTTTTTACTAAAATATAAACCAGAAAGTCTAACCCATATGCCATGCCCTTCTATCATATACCATCTTTCAAAAAATGTCAGTTATTCTCTCTGACATTTGTAATTATATTACTTATAACCAATAGAATGCAAATATTTTAATTTGCTGATTTACATATAATGCTTGCTCATTTTCATGACAGCTTTTGAATTATTCAACATACAGATTCAAACTTGCTATCGTCTAGTTCAGCTTGACAACCTAAAGAGATTATTTTAATGCACTCATAGCTTAGTTAAAAAAACCAGTTAAATTATAATAATTATAAGACATTGTATGCTTTGTGCATGTTAATATTCCAAGTCCTAAGTTAAATATTTAGTAAAATATTAAAAACAACCCTAGAAAGTTGGGGTTACTATTTATCGACACTTTAGTCTTCAACAGCAGAAAAGTACAAGGCTCACACATATATACTAAATTTGTTTTTTTATGTATATATTTTTTTTCATTGTTAAAAAAGTAACTAAAATGTACAAATTAGAAACTTATTAGGTTGAATAAGAAAAAGATTTTAAAAACTAAAAATTAATTTCTCTGCAAGATATGCATGCAAGACATTTGTGCATTACTAATTCATTACAGTAATTTAAGCTAAGTATTTGCTAAGTGGTCTCTAGCTTCTGCAGGTTCAGAAGAAATAAAACAATACAATTAAACAAATACATATGTAAACTGTTGTGAACCTGAGGTTTCTAGAATAAATAACTGTAATTTTCTGTTACAATCTGAATCATTTTAGAAACTAAAAACACATTCAATTTCTTAATTTTTTTGTGGTTGTTACAAAGATGCTAAAATGGACTAAGTCTGTGAAAAGTTAGGATTGAAATAACAGATAAAATACATAGTTTTTGATTCTAAAACTATAAGATAAAAAAAAGTATTTTTACTCTTGACATGAAAATCACCATGGACTAGTCAGAGCCTAAGTCAGACTCTAACAACATAATTCACAGACAAATCTTCAGTAAAAATACTTAATTAAAAAACTTATTTTTTGTATACAAAAGACTGGTAATAATTACTAAAAACTTGCCAAATTTTTGAAAATACACTCACTATATTAAACTTACAGATGTATAGTTTCATGGTTACATAGTTTTTGCGAGGTTGGTCAAAATGACCAAGCCCATATAGAGATGGTTAACCAATATAAAAACCTAATTTAAGTTTTTGTTAAATTTTTACCTTGATTAAGACACTTGCTTTGCACCTTGTTCATGTATTAACACTAAAACAGTTGCATTAATTCATACCACATAGCAATAAACTACAGAATAAAATAGCATGATTCTTGAGATAAATTTCCTACAGCTTATGCAGTCTTTGCAAAATAAAATGTCTTACTTTTATACGTGATATTTTCCTGAATTTACTGTTTTGAATTTTCAAGATTTCATTGTAGATATAATGTTTTTTTAAGAAATATTAAAAATGCTTACCTTTGCTGTAATATTAATTACTGATTTTTGTGTCTTCCTACATACTTGTAAAACTTAAAAAAAAATACTGGAAAATTATAAATTTTATCTTTGTTTTGATTCTGAAAACACAGCAAGTAATTTCACCATATTAATGATCAGTGCTATACAATAAAACTATCTATTTTACCAATTCAAAGCTAATAGAAAGCCACGCTGTTTTTTAAATTGTTAATCAGGTTTCATTTAATATGTGTAATTAGTTCTAAGTGCATTTTGTATTCATTTATGCATACATTTTTTTCAATGATTTTCTTTGCCCATTTAAGCAATTATTTAGGCTGATAAGAGCTAGAGAAACAAAACTTAATATGGTTGAGTGCAAAGTAATCTAAGCCTACCTTACCTTGTTCCATGAAAAACATACCCTTTCCTGCAATCTACTAGATCATAATTAGAGCTGGGCAACTAACTCAATTAACTATGAGCATCGATTAGTGTCATGTAAAATACTCGATTAATCAAAATTATTAGTGAACAAATTTAAGACATTTTGAATGGTTGTCCCAAGGACAACCATTATCCAGACCCGGGTTGTCCTTTCATAAGTTTTTCAGCCTAAGCCTATTCCAGTTTTATTGCTGTGATAGTCATATAGCAATAATATCAGATGAGAACAAAAACAGAGCAACTCATAAGCTTATATCTGCAGTACCTTCCAGCATTTTCACCATGATATCATTGTGTATTCAATCATATCTCATCAAACAACTTGGGCCTACACCTTGAAAATACCATGAAACACCCAACATTCTTTGAAAAAAAAACAACATTAATACAAATGTTTTATTTTGTTTTGACAATTTAAATAATTACCATAAACAAGCCAGCTTATGTAAAATGGTAGGCTATGATAGTGGGATCACTACAGGAACCCCTCAAAAATACTACCATGAAAATGACACAACTTGTTGTATGTTTTGTACTGAGTGTTCAGAGAACTTGCTTCCCTACAAATAATAAGCAATACACTAGCATGGTTACATTATGCCTACAGTACACATTGAATGAGGCTTTGTTTACATCTTAAAAACCTGCAAGAAACTGTTGCATCCATTCCTATTACTCAATTCTTATAGGACAGGGGTTAATGCAAGGTTTTTGTTGGTAGTTACTGTAACATGAACAGATCTGCCATGTTAGCAATAATTTCGCATCAGAAAAAATTTAGCTTTCTTTGCACTCAAGAAGTCCACGTATTTCAACTGAAAAACACTGATAATTTTTTTACCTTTCTGATAGAACCGTCAATTTCTGCATAAAAAAAACTTATACATTAATCAGAGTAATTGTCATATCGATAAGTTGAACAAGCACAAATAACATGTTGCCTTCTGAATAAGGATGTTACTAATATAAGGATTTTTTCCATTGTGTGCAGATGTTTGGAAGATATCCACACACTATTACAGGTACCTTGGAAAACAAACTGTAGTATAGTGTGTGTGTGCAGATAGAGAAAGTATGTTTCTGGAAGTTTCTGTGCTAGTCTGGACTTGATTGCAGTAGGTGCCTCAAGAACGAGAATCATTGTAAGCATATGTCCTGAAGTTGAACTGAGCCTACAGAGCCATTCAATAGAAACACAAAAATAACAAAAGAATTATCACTTTATTGATAATATTCACACATAGTTTCCATTTCACTGCATCTCCATGATTCAATGCTGAAATGCTCACATAAGGCAGTAGGTACAGCTCTGAAGTCTGAAATAATTTGGTTGTCCTAAGAATAATCTCAGTCTCTCAATTTTACAACATTTAGTTGTCCGACAATTTCTGGTCATCTTAGACAACCGTTAAAGTTGTTCACTGATTATGATTAAGTTTATTCATGTCATGAAAATAATCAACTAATCAATATCAGTGTTTCCTATTATTCCAACTATCCAAGTCACATGTGAGAATAATTGATGAAAGCTTAAAAAAAACATCAGGACTGTAACTGCAACAGAAATTGTTTACAAACATTGTTTCTATTAACAAAATATCACCAAGCCAAACTTTTATCACTCGGTTCCAATCTCTATGCAAGTCTCCACTAAACTAGAAGCCACACAGAATTGTACTGTACAGTTGAAAAGAACAGAGAAAGAGCTTTTATTAAGTGTTTAGATCACTAGACTATGACTTCTCAAAGCTGAGATATAGAAAATTTCATCATACTATAACAACCAATTTAGAAAGTGTCCCAAATATTTTCGACATTGTATTACCATGATATATTGTATATCACATAGTAATGAATTTCATACTGGTTATAACTAGGGATGCACAGGTACCCAGCCAGATAATCGGCCCCGGACAGGTATTGGGTTACCCGGTAATACTTGGCTCTGGCCCGAGTGTCAAAGTTAGACACTGAAAGTTGAAAGTAAAACTTGAATGTTCTGTTGGTGATTATTCTGTATTTGGCCAAATTTTACTACCCGTACATCCCTTATTATAACCAAATATTGAATTTAATACAACAATTCTTCACATGCATCAATGTGCATGCCACTCTAAAATAGGAATCTTACAATGATACATTATCACAAAAAACTCAATCTACAAAATAAAAGTTTTAATTTTTTGTTCATATCTTAATCTTTGTTACATAAAGTACAATTGACAGTGAAAGGTAGCAATTCTTAACCCTAAGTATTCTCCTTACTTGACAAAATATGACAATTATGTTGATGAGGGTAAAGATGTGGGTTTTTAATACCAGGATTTTCAAAATGGGTTCAACAAAGCATCCATAAGTAACTAGTAAAGATAATTATCTCCGTGGGGAGTAGGAAATAAGTTAGCTCAATGGATTAAGAGTTGGGTAGAGTAGAGAAGGAAAACTGTTGTGAGAAATGAAGTTTCATCAAACTACATTCCTGTGCTGGGACCCTTACTCTTTTTGATTAACATTAATGATATTGATAATGGAGTTGTCAACAACTTGGTCATTTTTATTGATGATGTTAAAGTTTTGGGTATAGATGGCTGAGACAAAGATGCTGTTATAAAGATTTTGATAATTCGGCAAACTGAGCAAATAAATTACAAATGGTATTTGATTATGCAAAATGTAATGTATTACACATTGGCTACATTAACTTAAACACTAATACCCACTTTTATGAAAATCAACTGAACAGTGTTATGGAAGAAATGGATCTTAGTGTTTTTTGGTCAATAAGACTTCAGCCTTTCAGGCAATGTGTTGTAGCCGGTGGAAAATCAAATAAAACTTTGGGTTGTATCTATAGGAATAGATAGGACTGGATGCTTAATCATTTTTTCATGCTTAATGGTAAGAGTGGTAAGATTAGACAGATTTAAAATTGTGGCAGGGTAAAAGTCATTTATAAACTAGGAAATTTTATTTTCTAAACATGACGTCAGTCTCTTGAATAGATTGTCTTCAGAAGTGGTAGATGTAAAAGAGGGCTTGATGAGTACTTGGGAGCCAGGGCTGGATATAGGCAGAAAATCATTTTGGCAAAATGAATTGGACAACCCCAATTGGCCAAGATTACCCTTGTTATCTCTCACATGCTCCATAACACTTACTACATCTACATAGCTTTGGTTCACTTTTATTATTTTAAATAAACATAAATAATTGATAGTTTATCTGTACTTACTCTGTATACATTTCACTGAAAAACTATTTGTAAATAAAAAAAAAGTACTAGACTTTTTAAATTTGTTTACAGAAGTGTGTTGTACAAATATTACTACTTACTATAGGCCAGGTACTCAGTTATACTGTAAACTAAAGCAGCATAAATTCTGTCAATGCAAGATGGTGTGTATGTGAAATGAAATCAAAGGTGCAGTGACAGATCATGCTTTAGCTAATACCTACACTCATTTTTGATGTATATTTTTTTACCTAGAATGTCATTTGCCTGTAAGACTCAATTTTTCTAAAGTGAAACTAAACATTGTATATAGTCAGAACCTGTAGTTATATTGATAATTACATACATTTCTGTAAAACAATTATATATATCAACAAAAATACCACAATTTTCATCTAAATATGTAAGTTACAAATTTAACATAGTCATGGATTGTTGTTGGTCATTTTGTTTTCATACACTCAGCAATAACTGGTCAATGAAAATAAATCATAAATTAAGGGATAACAAGAGGCCTTATGGTCCATCAAGGATGTCCTGAACTCTCAGCCTTCCTCAACAAATAGAAAATCACGAGAATACAGAAAGTTTTAAGGTTTTTTAAGTGTAAGATAAATGGGCTAAGGTATCTGTAAGAATGAGGAAGAAGTTAATTATTGACCCAAGCCTCTTATGTAGGTCAATGGCATAAAATTACATGGGCAGGTTAATTATATTTTTAACGAAACAGGTTTATTTTAATGGAAATAAACTTGGTAAAATTATTTTTTCTGCATGAGACTATCAAATGTATTCAAATTGTTAATAATTTTCTCAT